ATTTGGATGATTTCACATGTCGTGTTTGGGTGCTGAAATTATAGTTTAAGTCGCTTGAAGTAGTTTACAAGTGTTGAAATTAATGTTAAGGTGTTATTTGAAGTCGCCAATCGCTGTTGGAGCCTTAGGAGTGCTGCTGGAGCCTTAGAAAAAATTTTGGGAGCGTTGCTTGGGCTTTCAATTTGTCGTTTGGGAGCTGTGTGAGATACAAGGCCGCTGTCCACTGCTAATTAAAGGCTGGTTGGGAGCTTAAGATGACCGTTTGGTGCTGCTCGGATGTTTAGAATTGCTGTTTAGACCTGTAGGAAACTTAAGATGGCTGTTTGGTACTGATTGGAAGCTTATGATGGCTGTTTGGGTGCTGTAGTTGTTGCTTAGACCCATGAAATTGATGTTCGAATTCATATAGAAGCTGTTTGGGTGTTGTAGTTGCTGTTCGAAGTCATATAAGTGTTGTAGTTAACTTACAATTGTTGGAGTTAATGTTTGGAGTGTCGTAGATAGCTTGAAATTAATGTTTGGATGTTGAAATTGAGAATTGGACTGTTGTAGGTAGTTATTTAACTGCTGAAGATAGTCGTTAGCTGCTGTACATAGTGGTTTGGGTGCTGTCCATTCTTATAGATGGCTGTTTGAGGGACCAGTTAGCTGTTATAAATGTTGTCGGAGTTTAGAAACTGTTATAGGTCGTTGCTTGGGTGTTGTAGTCGTCGTTTGGGCCTATATAAATGTTGTTCAGTGATAATAAAACTGTTGTAAGTGCTGTGAAAGCTTTTGGAGTGTTGTGAGAGATGTCTGGTGTGTTGTTAGAATTGTAGGTGTTGTATGGGCTTACATGGTATTATTTGGAACACAAATTAGAAATTGTTTGGGGCATTTGGTGGGTTAATTTTGAGGCAATCAACATATTATTTTGACAGCCTTTTAGTGTTGATTTACATGTGGTTTAGAATTGGTTTTACAGACCCCTTTTTGCCAACTGTTTTGGATTTCAATTGATTTTTATTTAAACGTTTTTTAGGTCGATTCACTCGTTGTTATCCCCCTTGACTTTACTAGTTTTGGAAGTGGGTCTGCCTCATC